AGCCTGAACAAGAACAGCACAATGACCACTAGGTAAGTCAAGTTTCAAGTGCTCCGTGGATTGTTAGTATCCTCAGCTCTCTCATGTTTATTTCGTTAGATCTGGTCTTTAACTTTTGATTTTATGGCCTACGGGTCTTTCTTTTATTGTTCAGGGTGGCAGAGATGGCCTTGAAGCGAAATCGTCTTGATGGGTGGTCCCCTGAGAGCAAGACGATTTCCCACTTATACGCGAGATATGAGTTTAACGTGAGAGAAAAGTTTGGAGTACATGACATATATGAGCATGTGCTATGTATTACTAAAGCGATTCAATAGTCTTTAGCCTTCGATTATGTCCTGTGATTTATTCACGGATATCCACATCGTAGCCATCCGTTATTTACAGACAAGCTCGAACTGACCAAGTTTAAGGGAGATGTCTAAAGAATCACTCGAGAGGATGAAAGCTTAAAAGAACGCATGTCACAATGAACATTTTGTGCTTGGTTGGTATATGCGCGGCTTCTGGATCCTTGTTTGCGACCAGCAACTGTGTTGCTCCGTTTAAAGTTGGGTTCTCGGCCGCCTTAGGGCCTCTCAGAGCAGCAGGCTTTCTGGCCAAGCTTATAGACATTTAGCAGTCCTAAACTCCTTCTGAATCATGGCCAACGGGTATTGGGAAGGTTGGGTGTGATTTTGTGAGTGAAACAGTGACAGTTGGCTCATACGGGTTTGCTATGCCTCAATACTCAAGAATGTTGTTGGTTAACACTTCTGTTGATGGCTTTCAGGACAGGCGCAAAGATAATGATGATTCACTTACTGTTTGATGGGGGTTCCAATATTCGTCAATGGTCAAGGATATCAATATGTGGGCTGGGGGTTTTTCGTTTGGGGGCTACTTCTATTGACACTGCAGTGCCAGTGTGATTCACTCACGATCAGTGCAACTTTTTCTACCTCCGAGAAAGGTATTTGAACCTCACTTCCCCTTGATAATATTTCGTTCCTGCACGAGAGCCTATATCTCGACCGTCGGTCAGTTTTCTTGCTTTTCATCCTTTTCTAGGCGCCTTTGTCAGTAACTAACTTTGGTCTAGTCTTGTGATACAACAGCTTCTGGAGCTCCGAGAAGATTTCAAGATGGCAGAGGCCATGCTTGCTCAGCAAGTTTCGGACATGTTCGCTGAGCACGCTGAACTTCGAAGAACCGACGCGGCACAAAAGAAAGAGATAGAGAACCTCGAAGCTCAACGCGACTTCTACGCCGGGGAAGCAGAAATGCTCCGAGACCTTCGGCTTCTCTACGAAGCCAAGCTCGAGCAAAAGGATTCTGAGATTTTGGGACTGCATGTCCTCCTCGACAAAGTGAGGGTCGATGCCGACATCTATAGGGACGATCTGAGCGAGTTGCGCAAGCAGCTCAAGAACCTGCAAGCCAAGTATGAGACAAGCCAGCAAGAACTTTGCGCTGGCGAGGTAAAGTTTACCCGTCGCAGTTTCCAAGTCTCCAATCTTATTTGCGCCCTGCGTCGCAAAATTTCTACCAACCGCGTCTCCCTCGTAGCTCTTCGCGCTGCGTACAAGATCATTCCAAGCTTGGAGCAGAAAGGTCGGTGCATGAGGATTCTTTCTATGGCGAGGAAACTTCCACACAGGACTGGTATTGAGAAGGAGATGAAGGAGTGTCTCACGGACGCTGGACTCTTGGTCTCGTTTAACAAGAATGGTACCATGGTGCTGACACGATCTGTGCCGGTTGTCAAAGTACCCACTGATGGTTATAAAGAGTTTGAGGAAAGCATCACAATCGTCGAGAAAGATGCTGCGATGATGGACGACAAGGCTTTCGATCAGAATGCTCAGCAGAATACCAAGAAAGATGAAGACGTTCAGATGTCTGTTTAGACGTCAACAAACTCTACTACACTACTATCATGTGCTTGATACCATGGGTCTGGGAGTATTTGGACATCAGTACAACCAGCTTCTGCTTACAATACTCAATCATTTGAGTTGAGGAATGGGAATTTTCATCACAAATGAGTCATGCTTGTTCGTTTGGAACATGATTGGGGTTCACCTGTACCAAGTTGCTACACAAAACACTGAGTCCTGGTTGGTGTTTCTTTGCTAGCTTATTGCTTAACTAGGTATACTCTCAATAAACTAGTCGCCCAAACTATACAATTCAAGAGTGAATGTGTTATGTTCAGACAATCTCGAGTTCCTCATGATCTACTCTTTTCTCACTAGTCATCGCTAGAATACATGTCGATATTAGACATGTTATGTGAGACCTTATATAAATACCCCCCATAGTGTCTTACATCTGATGTATGTAATAATGTCGAGGTGCCCTTGGAGCGTAACTCGCGCTCTGAACTTAAATAAATATGCTGTTCTTATTTCTCGTTCCAAATTTCACGACTAGTCTCTGCATTGCTTTTCAAACGGCCAAGTTGGGCAACGCAAACGTCCGCTCTATTCTATCGTTAGACAGGACTGATTTTCTTATCTACATGTTGGTGTCGGGGCATGCTAGAAACAGTATGTTATTTATTAAAACACCACATATTGCACTGTTTGACGCACATCTGCCATCCCAGTGAGCCTTGTTTACATGAATCGACTACATACAACTTCCCCCCGTCAAGTGATAGACAAACACAATATACAATATCCTCAAACAGTAGGCAGCCGTTTTTATTTCAAAAATTTCCCCTCATTCAACTATGTCATAGGTGGGAGATGTTTCTGGAGTTGTCTTAGTTATCTCTAGTCTCCTTACTTCTGCTGTTGCTATCCGACGCTTTCTCCGTTTACCCCAGCAACCCTGGATGTTCGGTCTCTAAATGCAAGCCACCGCGATTACCAAATTCTCTCTCTACAGCCATAAGCTTTTCCAAATGATTTTATTTATTTCAGAGATTTCCCTGAGCCTGTTGGCACAAATGTTTACGCTGTTCAGTAAGGCACTGCTAGGCATTGAGAGTGGATAAGAACGCGAATATCTCTCCTACCTCTCGGGTGCATACAGGTAGTAATTACGGCACCATGCATAAGTCGTTCTGAATTTGAGCTTGATTCTGCGTCTGCATGAGTATTCCAAGTAATTCGTCTGCGATTATCCGATAAGTCTATTGTGGGTGGTAAGTGCAAGGACGCAGAAGGCATCCTGCTTCCCCATTTATACTCATCTAGCATCTTGTTCTTTTTAATGTCATATCTTGGGCCAGAACTCTCACCCTCATCATTGAGATACTGCTTAAAATTCATTAATATCTTTTCAAACCAAGATGGTCGAGTCTTCATATACCACCACCCCTCAGCTCTCTCGGTTCGAGAATCTCCCCCCAGAACTGACAAACACGATTATCGACCTACTACCCCCAGACTCTCTTGCCTCTATCCGCCTCTGCTGGCCTTGTCTCGATGGAGTAATTCTGTCTCGTCAGTTCAAAACAATCCGTGTTACATTCGCTGAACGGGATATCAAGAGACTGCAGGCGGTTTCGTCGACTTATCCTTACTATGTCCAAGAACTTGTCTTTACCACAGTTCAAAGTCGTGATAATCACAGCGACAAATTCGGGCATGTCTTTACAGGCGGCAAATACCAGAAATACATCCAAGACTATCGACGCAGGTTCTTGGCTTGTTTCGATTCTCTGCCCAACCTGCACACTTTTACGTCTGAGCTGGGTCCTATCAGTGGAACTGCCGCGAAAGAACATATCGACGGGCTTGTGTATGCCATATTTCCTGCTCTATGCCGTTCTTCGTCTCGAATTACAACTCTTAGATGCCAGGACCCCTTGAACTATATGCGTTGGTTCTTGTCCAAGGTCAGGGCAACTCGGGGCCCTCCTGAAGGGATGATCAAGGCTATTCCAAGAATATGCACGAAGGGCATTTGCACCTGCTGGCAAAGCAGTCCCCAACTTTCAAGGTTGAGCTCGTGTACCGCCCCGCCTTCTAGCAGGGAGACCGATTGGATATATCCCAGGATCCCCTGGGAATGGAGGACTGCCTTGCGAGGACTCACGACCCTTGATCTGCAGAATGACACGGCTGGTGGTAGCTGGAATTGCTTTGAACAACTCGGTGACAGACTTGTTTACTTCCTCGAGGGAGCTGTCAACCTGCAAGAATTGTCAGTCAGATGGAGACGGACTGATCAAATTGGATCTGCCGGCCGTCCTCTTATTCACTCCGGTTGGCAGTTGGAGCATATTTTCCGCGGAAGATGGAAAAGTCTCCAAACCATCAAGCTCATCTTCATCCAATTCACATTCTCCGCCAACCCTTTCAAGACCTTCATTCGACGCCATTCACCAACTCTACGGCACATCATGCTTCACAACTGTCGCAGCGACCCAGAAGTTATTCGCATTATCAGGTTTGCTGCTTCGTGCCCTGATGTCCATCTTCATCGGTTCGCTGTCTTTCCGGCGCATGAGAGCCACCCAAGGGCTGAACTCCTGGATGAGTCATATCCAGATTGGGGGCAAGTAGTTGTCGAGAAACCTCGCATTGTTCCAGAGAGTGCGGTACTCGGTTTCATCAACAGCAAGGACCCTCAGCACCTCGATCCGTTTGCAGCGTGGAAACCCCTCGAATATGAGTATTGGGGAACTGTCGAGCAGAAGGCTGAGTCGACTTCAATAAAATGGCCTCAGAATAATGGGATGGCCGTGAAGTGCAAGCAGTGCAGCGACTAGTCTAGTAATAGCTTTCAGTCCATGTGACAGAGTTCATCTCGAGATCGGTTGGGGCCACTCAGAGTCACCAGTTATATGGAGCTGGAAACGAAGAGGATATATCAGTTAATTGAACTGATGTTGATAGTTTCAGTAAAGCAAAGCGACACGTTTTGATTCAAATAACATATTACGCTATTGGCGTAACTCCAGCCGCATCCAACGCCAATTTCTAATCGTTATTTCATGGCCGTTTGGCCTAGCATTTATCTAAGTTAATAGGAACGCAGTGCCTCGTGAGTATCGTGCCAGGCCATTACTGGCCCTGTGCAACTCCGGCGCTAGCAGCACTCTCTCCAACCTTGAGTTCCTCCTCGGGTACACCAACACCGACACTGGCTACACTAGCAATACTCTGTGTCGTCATGCCTCGTTCCCGCTCACCGCCTGGTCTAACGGGCAATCCCTCTCGAGGGCCTGCTATGCTGGCCCCTCCAGCAGGGGTAACGCTCACGCTGGCACTGGTGCTTGCGCTTCCACTTCTGGGGCGGCCTGCATCACTGGCTCTTCGTTGGCGGACCTGTCTCTCTAATTCTCTAATCTTTCGCTTGAGAGCATCGTTCTCTTTCTTGGCAGTCTCAAGTTCGTTTCTGTAATATGCTGTCTCTTCGTAACGCATGGTGGCAGGCATTAACCCGGGGCTTAACTGCTCGCTCACACTTCCAGGGGTTGCACCAACTGAGCTCGGTGGGATCGACGTAGGTGGGGGAATTCTCTGATGCTGAAAATAGTTGGACGGATCCAGGCTGCTGTGCTGCGGTCCGGGAGAATTTGTCAGGCTCCTTCGAGAGGCGGTACTATCCTGCCGTGAGAGAGGAGTAGCCTGGGATGGACGGGGGGCATGGATTCGTGCTTCGTAGGACGATGACAACTGTTGATTTCCAAAGCTCTGCGATGTGGTCGATGATGTTCGGTGATGTCGAGCCGTGGGAATTGAGAAACCTGCGCCCGAGAGGAGAGACTGCTCGGGTACATCGTGAGTTGAGTTGCCGGCAGAGGTAGAGGAGGTGTTGGAAACGACGGAGGCGTTCTGGGCAGCTCGGAGGAGTGAAAGCTCACGGGTCAAACGGTTGACCTAAAGATATTAGATAAAGCTACCAAATCGAGGTTGACATCTTGTACTCACCACGGCCTCTTGCTCTTTTTCAAGCTGGAGGTGAAGCTCGGCGGCGGTCAACGGACGAGGATGTCTTATCGGTCCAGGTCCCGGACCAACACCAGGCTCAGCTACAACATTTGGCGGAGCATTATAAGTCGGTTGCGAAGCATTTAACACTGGTGATGGAAGAGAAGGCGAATGCGACGGGTTCACCGTATTCTGGTTGGAAGGGAGGATGTTGAGAGATGGCGAAGCTGGGGCTGGCGGAGTAGCCATCTGTGTCGAAGACTGGCGCCGAGAGGCGGCAAGAGTATGTGGAGAGGGGGGGACTGAGTTTAAATCCGGCATGCCGGTCATGAGGTCCGTATTTTTTATGGAAAGTTGATCGTTTTCTAAGTAAACCTAGTGGAAAGGTAAAAGTAACGCGTAGTTGAATGTTTGAGGTGAAGCTCTGGCGCGTTGTGCATGACTGCCACCATCACTGACGGGGGCGAGCGGGGTCCAGCGGGCCGGTCACTAGCATGGACCCATTTGCACCGGTGTGGTGGACGCTAAAACACTGAATGCCCCCTAGAAGTACGGAGTAAGTCCCTGAAAGATTCCGACTGGCTGCGATGGCGGGATCTTGAAACTGTCCATCCATGGTATAAAGAGTGTTTGGTGAATGGATGTTGTCTACCCTGGAGCAAATAGTAACACCTTCATTTCAGGCTCCGTCGCTTAGGCTTCTTGTAAACTCATGGTAGCAGTTAGCTTGGCTACTGAACCAGTTTCGTTGGATCAAACAATTACTCATCGTGTTGTTGATGAGTTAGGGAAACACCATTTTCAAACCGCCCTTCAGTGAGGTTAGCAGCGTTGTTGCTATAACTTAAGCTTGAAGCTTGAAGTAGCGAGCTTCTATGGGCAATTGAACCATGAGTTGATTACCGGAATGAAATGAACAATTAAAGAATGTCCAGACTGATAGATGATTATAACCTCCCAGTGATTCTTATCAATATTTGTCACCATTAACCAACATCACAGTAAGCATGATAAACTCCAGAAACTCCCAACACAAGAAGGTGGGGGAGCTTCAAATCACCAACAAGCTCTGACAGCTTCACACCTACTAAGAACAACTTATCAGCAGCTTCTCACTGTTCCTGAATCAAAACCACAAAAGGCCCGTATATCGACCCTCTCTTTCTGTATATCATTGGCTCGCATCGTTACTCCATCAAAAAAACACCATCTCGATCTCCCTCCTGCCCATGATGTAATCCCCCTATGACGGCATAGAATCCCACCTTCGACGTCAACTTGCAATCATTGCTTTCCACTTCTCGTACTTAACCTCTCGCCCTTCCTCATCTGAGACCATTCCACATTCAAACAAACTCTTCAACAGCAACTCAATCCCGAGCCTCTTCACATACCAAAAATCACAGCGATCATGCCTGAGGGACGTCAATCACCAGCTCCTGAGCAGCAGAGCGGCCGCCAGCAGCAAGATCCTCCTGCCTCTGGTCACGGAATCAACAAGACTGATAACAAGGACCCCAAGAGCCAGCTCGAGGCAAGAAAACCTCCAATTTCAGTTTCGAACATGATGCTAACTATCTGCAGAACCTCTCATCGAACCCCAAAGGTATCACCGACGATATTGTGGATGAGAAATTCTCCAAGACCGAGAAAAAATAGTCAGTTATGCCAAAAGAAAAGTCCCGATGAGGCAGTCTTAACACGGAACAGAACAAATGATACCACGATGGTTATGAATTGATGGACAAGGGAATGCATAGAACTAATAAACCACGACTGAAATAGTCACTTCATTTGCAACACTGCCCGCATCTCAACTGTGACTTGTCTGTAGATATATTTCATTTTTAACTCTCGTACAAATGAGCTTGCAACAACATATTTCATTATATGCCAAGAGATAGTCCTTTTCACATGCTAAGATTCTCTAACTGTAGGCTTTTATCTTATTTGCAGGACCTATAATCACGATTGAATGTGTTGGCAGAATTCATCTCAAATTTATTGATTGTGACATGCGTAAAAGTCGTAACAATTCGTTAACTAAGGCTACAACAAGCCGTTACATCAATGTTTCATCAGAGCTCAAGAAATACCGGTACCCCATTGCTTCCTCATTACTTCACGTCTCCCCAATTTCGATAGCTTAGTGCTTCTCACCGCCCTCAGGAGCGCTCACATTGGGAACGTTGTCGGCAGAGGCGGCAGGAACTGATGTTCCAAGACTGCCCTGACCAGCCTCGGGAGCGGCGGTACCGGAGGTCTTCTCCTTGCCAAAGACCTTCTCGAGACCAGCAGCCTTGTAGGCGCTTCCACCGTGCTCCTCCTTCTTGAGATCAGCAAGGCGACGAGCCTCGGCGTGCACCTCTTGAACTTGTCGGCTGCCCTCGGTGTAGAACTCGGCGATCTTCTTGCCGGTGGGTGTGTTGGAGGCCTTCTCAAAGTAAGAGCTGAGGCCGAGCCAGAGGCTGTTGGCGCGCTGGGTGATACCGTAGCTCTCATCGGTGGCCTTGGCTCGGTCGGTGGCGTGGTACTTCTGGTCGAGACCCTGGAGGGTAGAGAAGAAGCGGTTGGAGACGTTGTGAGCGGCATCGAGGTCGAGGGCACGCTGGATGGCGGCGTCGCCTACGACATAACCGTGGGCAAGGTACTCAGCCAGGATGCGGGCGCGGGGCTTCTCCTCTTGGGTGATCTCATCGGAGTCGCGGTCGGCGTTCTTGGTGGCTTGGTGGACATCGTCTTCGCCATCAGCGCCAGCGCTGGTGACCTCAAGGTGGTTAGGACCGAGTTGGGTGTTGTTGAGGAGAAGAGCAGTCTTCTTGGCAGTCTCCTTCTCGAAGATAACCTCAGCGGACTTGGTCTCGCCTTCTTGGGTGACCTTGAGATCAGCGATCTTACCACTGGAGGACGTTAGCTGTGAAGCACGAAAAGTGAAGGCGAGCAAGAGCTTACCAGAAGCTGAAGAAGTCCTTGATCTCGCTGTCGCTAGTGGACGAAGCGATGTTCTTGACGTTGATAGTAGAGTTGGCAGACATGATGAATGTGTGGTTGTGCGTGCTTGTGGTTTGGTGTGGTTAATGAGGGGTATCAAGCTTGTTGTGTTGAAGGTTGAAGGTAGCAAAGGGCAAGCAAGTGTTTTTAAAGAGTCAAGGCAAATAAAAAGCAGGAATGACGACACCGTGATAGATCGTGACGAGGCAACGAGGCAGTGGCAGTGTGAGCAGGAGCTTGTGTGGAGGCGGCTCCCTCTTTCTCATTCCCATTCCCATTCCCTCGAGCTCAGACGCTTAACTCACTGCGGGGCACAGAGCGACGTCATCGACGGATGCCATGTGTGATGGCATGATGTACTTGGTGAGAACTACATGACCTCACACACTAAATAGGTGATGCAACAAGTATCTTCTAGCAGCATCATGAATTGTTGAAATTGATCTCTTGGAGAGCGGGAACAGACTAGAAGCGGGCTGTCAATGGTTGCCCTTGCGTCGTCTCCTGTGGCGAGGTGATGAGACACTTCTCAGACCAAATCAAGTTGCAGAAGAATGATTTGCTTTCCGTCTTTCACATGTGAAGGACCCTTTCTTTTTCTTTTTCTTCTCTTGATCCGTGATCGTCTTTGCATGAGATCATCGAGGCTTATTCGTTCGTTACCCTCTCAACATTATGCTCATAAGCCATGCAAACAATACCACGAGATTTACTGTCTACGCGTCTTGATACGCGTCATGGAAAACTAAATATCACAAGGCGGCCTTCATTCTGAGGCGTTTACCTCTGCTCCTGCTTTTGGAACTTGTAACTGTGTCATTCGGAGACGCTTCATGTGTTGGGTTTAGCATCATTAATCTGGGCGCTAATACTTTCTCTGTACAGTAGTTCCCGTTCGGTGGGTTAGGTGCCGTGAGTTGCTAATTTAATCTCTCCCCTTGGCGTATCAAAATGCTCAAGACAACTGACGTGTGATAAGGTATGATTATATACACGGATACATAGTATTTATCGACTCATCATACTCACCTAAAGTCAACTTACACCATTGAATTGAATTGCCTTTGCCAAATCATCTGGTCTTCAACACCGCCTTTGCTAGATTTTAACGCCAACTCATCCGTCTCCATCCCATCGCATCAACCCCTGTCCATCAAGCGCTGATGGATTTTTCCAATGCGACTTCAATTTCCGTCCTCATCAATTTGCAACAATCCTCGTTTGCAAACCTCGACTTAATGGTTCGTTCACAGGGGAAAAGCTCATGCTATTATCATGCCATGACATCTATTCCACTATGGCCAGCATTGCGTCGCATCATATAGACCAACAACCTCATTATCACGCGACAACACCTCCTGTGATGCCTCGCCACTCTCTTTTAAACGCTTCCTCATATGGCAAAGTTGCTCCTTCAGCCCACTCTCCCGCTTCGTTAGACAAGCGTTGGGGGTCACACGCCAACTTGGCGATCGCTTCCATCGACAAGGGTCGTCATCATCCTTGCTCAGACGAAAAGACAGACTCGTTCCCATCTTCTCAAGTGAGCAGAACGAAGGAGCAGTCTCAAAGAACCAGGGGAAACTCGATGCTCCCGTGGCGCTCACTAAACAGCCAACGTTGCAGCCAATGTTGCAGTCATATTCGTATATCTCACTGCATTAAAGTATTGATTACGGGCTTTTCATGGCGCCCCTCTCGTATTTAAACGGGATCCTTCACGGGCTTCCAGGCGGTCAAAGCGGTTCTCGCCTCCCCCAGACCGCATTGATTGAAATTTGCAACCCTAGCCCAGTCACTATCAACTTCTAACCTTGAAAGGAGCACACTATAGGCAATTGTTTCGCGCCAAGGAAACAAACTAAAAAGAACCCATATTCCCAGTTTTGTTGGCCTCGCCCTCACTTCTCTCTGTTGGTGATTTCACCGCTCTCGTGCTCACCTTTTCACTCTTTCAAATATCGGCTGATTTCGCCTAGAGGAGGAGAGAGTAGTTTACGGATATCGTTTAAAAGTTTTTGATTTTGTAGGTTTGGAAAAGTAAAGGTAATTCAATTCTTGGAGTCTCTTTAGCAACTGAGCGCTAACAAAGAGACCAGAAACCTGCCATGCCTCTCGTTCCCAGCTCCGCACCGCTGCCCAGCAGCATGACCACCATTGCTTACTTGCGCGAGCAAGAAATCCTCAACATCGTTTACATCGGCCTGCTCGTCATCGAAGTTCTTATGGTTTTGGGCGTCATCACTATGGCTCTTGTCAAGCGAGTTAAAGTCAACCACCAACTCAAAACAATACGATTAGCAACCACTTCGGCAAAATACGCCCCCTACCACTTTGCGCATGCCGACACGGAAAAGACAATGTTATGACGATCCGAAAGATGACGAGAAAAGATACTACGAAGAACGATCACGTCAGATTGGCGCTTCACCACCACCGCGCACGATTACTACGATCATTGCATTTTATTCCTTTGTTCACCAACATCAACACAACGTTACGCACTTTTTATTCCAGCATGACAAAGAGGAGAGGAGGCTGTTCATTATCTCGCATGGTTTCAAGGCGTAATGCGTTTGTTCACTTGCAGCGGAAGATATGATTTACGACTATATATACCCAGACTTTCTAGCTAATGCCATTTACGTTTTACGTTGCCTCTTTATCGCCAAAACTGAAATATTGTGAAGCTGATGCTAGCATCATCTTCTAAACTTGGAACCTCACTAGCTGCAGTGTTGCACTCATGGATCACGAATCAATCGTCATCATGGACTCGCCTAACATTTTTGGCGACCGACCCAAAAGTCGGTGCCCTCACTGCAAGTTCTACCCCAAGCATGGCGAGAAAAAGGTATGCGAAGCCTGTGAGTTCCTCATGGGAGAAGACGAAATCAAAGCCTTTCTCGGAGGCTCAGAACGGAATTGGTGTGTGTATCATCTAAATCGACAAGGGTTTCTACCCGGCCGCGCCGCCCTCGAGGATGCTATGCGCGCTCGATTAATTCAGGAGCAACGCTGCGGACGCCTTTGTTGCGCCAGACTGAAGTTACCCATTTATGTGCATTGCGAAGAATGTCGCGAGATGTTGCTCTGCAAAGGCGTTCCCATCGCGGTTGCGAACAGAAAGATTTATGAGCTTACCCATTATGATCCTTTTCCAGATTACGATGACGACTCTTTCGCAGCAAGAGTTGCTAGAGGCGAGGCGAGTATCTACGAAGCGTATTGGAACTGGGATTGCTCGTTGGCAAAGTTTGTGCATCCCAACCGTAAGTGCTTCAAAGGAAATATCAGCCCCGAGGAGATGGTCTGATGCATGCTTATGTCCAAGCCAAGACACAGCCATTACTCATAGTTTTTTTTACGGGCTGATCCCATGGATGTTTCAGGCTCAAGTGAGTCGTGGAGTTTTGAGGTGAAAGCTCGATCATTCAACTCAGGAGTACGAATCTATCCGCCAGTATTCAGGACCATTCATACACTTCTAGAAGGTGTCATGTCCGAAGCATTTTGTCAGAGAGAAAAAAAGAGATACTGCCTGTCTATAAAGTCCTTGCTATCGTTCCGCTCATTATAGACACAATCATTGAGTTGCCAATCTCATTTCATGTTCCAACCATACACATCCGCATACCTGAAGTAGCTTTTCGATGAATCTCCCGCTGTTTGATGTTGAATGCTCCGAGTGAACTTTCGGATATGATGCGATTTCCATTGCACTATCTGTATACTACAGCCCTTATCTTTGTATCGAGTTTTACCGTCGCTGTATAATCCCAACAGAACTGCCTGAGAGGAGGGTTTGATAGAAGTAGGGGAGATGATATTTCCTGAATGGCGTTAATTACTCTTGTATATAATGGCGAACTCTATCACTGGTGTGCCATTTTCCAATTGTCTAGTACTATTAACGATATTCAGGGGCTGTATTTTTCAAGCGCCACGTCGTCTATCTTCATATGGACTTATAGCAGCAGCATATGCATTGATGTTTGAAGTGGCTAAACATTAACTTTTAAGCCTTTTGTGAAAGAAACAAGAAGTGATGGGTCTATTAGTTGGATATCGGCACTGTAAGTTGGGGCCTATGCATTCACATGCAATGCCGATGCACAATTTTAAGCCCGACGTCCCTCCTATAAATTCAAGGAATAGTACCACTAGGTTTACTAAGTAGCCGTAAGTAATGAGTACAGGCTTGCTTATGCGGCTGGGCCAGTATGGAAACCCGTCATGTTTTCCACGGAAAAGAATTGCCGTGCTCACCACACATTCTGCAGAGGATCCCATAAACTTGGGAAAAGCTGGTCGAGGTAAGAAGACTCCGCCATGGCAAAACTAGAAAAGTCCATAACCTCTTCAGCACTCGAGTCTTCAGGCGGAGTCATGGCGCGTAGCTTCTCAACAACATCCGCATGTTGGGCCAAACATATGTCACCCAAATCCCAAGCATTCTTCTCTTTGTGTTCACGAAGAGCCGACAGCAAGTCCGAGGCTATCTTCAATGAGCTGCTCTGAACCAATCCGGCTGTTGAGTTTTCTGTCTCCAGTGCGCATCGGAGAAGGAGGCTGACGGTTGTCGAAAATGCAAAAGCGCTGCTTGGTAACCAGCAATCAGCCAAATGTTCGGGCTGTAATTCCTGAGTTAAGATGAGAATGTCCTCTGCAGTTCTTCGGGCTTGCATATAACGGTTCAGGAGGCGGCTATCTCCCGTATCACGAACTCGCTTCTCAGCTTCAAGCTCGATTCTCTGCAATAAGAGTCTGACTGTCAGATATGACAGCCGAAGGTTGGCAGCACCAGGAATTGTTAGGTTGTTTCCACGAATGACAACCCGTCGGATCTCGTCACTTAGAGTCTCTATCCAGTTATTCAGAGCTAATTCTAGATGTGTCGTATCTGTGGATTCATCTGAAAGACTGAATTGATGGACATGTCTCAGGTGTAAGTCCAGAACCTCGGTCAAGCCAACAAGTGCAATATACACTGAAGCATTGAGAGCCTGCTCTGAAGAATTTCCTTCTCCACAAAGGTGTTCGACGAGAGGCTGGGGCACATCGTTTAGAGTCGGAGAGATAAGCGGCGGGGTTCCATGCGAAAGACTCAACCTATCTACACCTTAGAGCTGCTAAAGGGGAGGTCTTGTGCATGACATTTACGTACCATTTATCGTGGATCAACAGAGCCCACCATATCTTCATTCTTAGGTTCTTCTCAGACTGCGGTATTTCCCAGGATATTGGACTATGGTTGAGACCCAGTGAATGTGCCATAGAGACGGAAGACGCCAGCAAGACGCCATTTCCTATCAGGGCAGTGACTTCGCGACCACCGATATTCAGAATCAAGGCTTCTATGGTGGATATTCCAGGAGATCTATGTATCTGGGAATAAGCTGCCTCAGTCGCAAGATTCCATATGAAGCGCCCGTCAGGACATCGATGACGGGAAAGAACAGGAGAGCTATTCCAGAAGGTTATCGAGTGGGCATACAGGCCACTGAGAAGCGCTGGAGATATGGCAGATTTGTTCTCTCTATATTGCTTACGGAAATGTGCTTCATCAAGAAGAGGAAAGCAAGAATTGGCCTTGTGAAAATAACTGAGCGATGTTAGTAATTGTGGTACCAATCTGTCAAAGACTTACACGTCAACAAGATCACTGGTAAAAGGCTCCAATATCTTCTCTATAAGCTGCAACCTTTCCTCTGCGAAAGTGAGGTTTGAATCCAGCCCAACTGGTCGTTTCTGTACAGCAGTAAACAGCACAGGTCGAGACCTATTGCCTATGGCTGGCCTGATGATCCGTGAACCTCTTGAGGCACTGGGTATGGAAGATAGGTAGTCCGACAAAACCTGGTTATCGGAAGTGACTGCTGGGCCAACTATGTGAAGATTATGTGGTTGCTCGTCGTTTGAGCCCAATGCCAAAGGTGACTCCTCCGATTGAGCGTTTTGCTGGACCCTTTCCGTGGTGCTTCTTGGCGCAGTGGGAGAGACGCTTGACGCTTGGTTCCCATGAGAGACAGTATTTCTCGACGAACTGTTAGGCACTGAATTCAGTGCGGATTCAACAACGGACACTCGCTGCTCGATAGTAGAATTGTCTGAGACGGATACCGCTGGGGTCTCAGATGCCAGGCTGATCTGACGGGAATTTCTAGCTGTCGACAGCCTTGCTTGTCTCCGACGCCGAGGAGTTCGAGAACTTGAGCGAGACTCCGTGGGAAAGATGCAATCCGTGCGGTGTGCCCGGCACATGAGACAACAGCTAGAAGATGCCTCGGACTGGCAGCGGGACTTGCGTTTTCGGCATGGAATACAGGCCGGCCGAAGATGAGACCTGTACGGCCGTTCATTAGAAGCTCCCTGTTCCATTTTGGTATTTGGTAGCGAGAATGGATGATGTCTCGCTGTGGTTGAATGTAGAATACTTTCCGCGGCGTGTGCTGAAGCTGGTGTTGATAAGAAGAATGACCTAACTTCCCCGCGGGAAACTAGCGGCACATTCCGCGGGCAGTGTATGTGCCAGTGCTAGTATAGGTAGGTCAAGTTGACTCTTGAGAATAACAACGAATGTCCAAGGAATCAATAGACGTATTGTTTTATATTGTAAGTAATATCTACTTCTATAAATGCAAAATATCGAAACTATCACCTACCAACATCAATCATGTGATAAGTACCTATCGATAGCCAGGTCCCTCGTTCATGTTCCCCTATTATGCTCTATTTCGCAGTCATAGACATGTGCTATTGAAGGTTCGGCTGAGGAATTATGTGACTCGACATCTCGAGTCATCTCATGAGTAACCAAAATAGCACCATTGCCGTCCATTTTGTGTGGGAAGATTTCCTCCGTGCTCTCATTCTTGGTATGTGCGCCGCCAATAGCTTGACTTGTCAATCCATATGCGGCGTTGCCTTTTGACTTGCTCGGTAGGTATCCATTCTTATGGCTCTGCCTGTAGCTTTTAAGCGGGATAGATCCTCCTGTCTTCTTGGAACCGCTCCATCCGTAGTAGTTATTCGAACTTCTTCGACCGCCCGAGAGTCCCAAGGCATGGTTGATCCAGGGGACCTTTTGAATGACCTGGCGAAGGCATGGGATTGTAGAACATACGATGAGAGAGGCCAGTTCAACTTGAGACCATATCATGGGCTCAGCGAACTCGTCTAGACACTGTTAGAAGCGGTGAAGAAGTTGTTTCACATGACTTACAGGTAACATCGGGTCCAATTCGCGTGACAAAAATGATGCGAATAATCGAAGTGACGCAAACCCTTTCGTGGTAAGCCAAGGCTGTAACAGAAGAGAGTGACAACTTACAATAAACCAAGGGATAACATGGCTATCAACCCCAGCCTCTTTGCCACAGGAAGATGCAACCTCCACATCGCAGGAATAGGTTGGACGAAGAGGAACAAGTCGGTACACATATTGAATACAAACTGTTGAGGATTCGTCAATATAAGAAGCTCTCGCATAGATTTCTTTTGTGACTTACCGTGCACCACCAGAGAACACGAAGATCAAGACACTTGGCATGTGCTGGGCGGGGTACTACATAAGCTGCCATGACAGGTCGACATTGGAAGATAACAATGAGCGCTTCTTCAATAGCCTGCATTGCTAGGAAGACAAGAAGGCATTTGTTAAGGATCCGAAGGACAGGCTGAGGGTTGATTCGAAGATAAAGCACGGCGAATGACGATTTGGCACAGCCTATACCAAGGCTAAAAGTTGCGGAGCATCCTGTCGTATACTATGCACCGTGGTCAGCAGAAGGATCCAGATTGGGGTGAAGCAATCACTGACTCTGAGGAATCTCTCAAGATCTTGGTTCGACACTGCATTCATATGCTTCCCGAATCCCACTTTCACAGCTATTTCGTGTCAGTACTTTTCCTCCGTCATATTAAGTTAGACTGCGTGAAACTTACAGAGTATTGTGCATATACAGAGTCCTGTCAAGAATGCCTACCAATACCGTGTTAGTGGTGCAAAAGTACGCGAGACATGGTCTCATAATTTGAGAAATATTACCCATGCCGCTGTAATCAAGTCTGCTACATCGTCAGTCCTGTCGTTGCTGAGTTCTTCGAATTACTCCGGCCTTACAGTCATCTGTACCAATCGTCTTCAGACTGGATCTGATCCATAAGCGAGTACCAATAAATACAGAAGTAAGAGAAATGACTGATATCGATGATGCGAGCAAAGCTCCTGACAAGTCATCCCCCGCCATGACGGTATTGCTATGAGTCTTTTAGTTCCTTTTTCTTGTCGAATCCGCGGTTCTCTCTGGTTATAATTATGAGTCCTCTTGATGGCAATGGCATTTGGCAGAAGGTTACAGGATTAAATGTCTGTTCCTCGAAGCTCAAAGCTGTTCTTCAGATATATGAATACCTTGCACATTGCCAACGCTGCACCAAATCCATCCAAATGAGCGAGGAGCTGGACACAAGCTCCTCTGAGAGAATGACAGACAGCTGTGCTGGTTGGAATAATAGTAGTGTTAAATGAGTCGCTAAGCTGCGTCCTCTCACGTCTTGTGATTTCTGATGGAATGTAGTGACAGAAAACCGGGGAACAAGGCCATATAAGTCGTAACTCAATCAACCTTTCCGTCTCCGGTTTGATGCCAGAGACTTCAGAGTCAACTGAATTCACTAAAGAGCTTGGTACCACGCCAATTTATCCCTACAATGATCCGATCTACGGGGAAGCTATCTACATGAACCACCAGCGGGAAATGCCTGGGGGGACAAGGGACCGTCCATAGCTGCAACGAACAAGCGGTATGGAACTGGCACCGGTAAGGGATACAAAATTAGTACACGGTCACAAAGACGAGGATGACGCCTCTTAGCCAAGATCTAAAGGAAGACGCCGTTATGATGGTGGTTGTTAAAGTTTCAGCCACAAGAGCCCGTTAGTTTTGGTACCAATATGAGCATGCCAGAATGTCTCTTGTGGTGTTGGTCGTCTCCCATGCCTCAATTGGGTTGGATAGTGACATATTGATGGGAAGACCCGAAATCTTCTAGTCTGGCGAAGCCATTCTTCCAGTACGCGTTCTACCTGCGAGTCAGGCGTCAGGCTCGGCAACTGACAACATCACTGAAGTGTGCAACGGCCCCAACGCCATCGAAGATCATTTCCCCAAACTTCTAGGATAATTATCAGCTTTAGGTAATATATTCTTATTGTGAACAGTAGTTATCAATCGATGTCCCGTCTTTTCAAGACTTGCATCCGCACATATGAGCTTGATATCCTGCGTAAGGGGTACCTGTCATTTCTGTTATATGGAACTTAAAAATAAGATCACAACACCTATTAAACACAACGTTGAATTCTGTCGACGAAGTTGATGTATTTTTATCATAAAGCAAACTTAGGGGAGCACTGAGAGGTTGACTGATCCCAGTGCAGATGCAGCTGAAGACAAGGTTGCTGAGTCTTGACGGCTTGGAGACAAGCCACGCCTATCACCAGGAACCAGCGTACCTACGTGTCGAGCTGCAACACGAATCTACAGGACTGTAACAGGCCAGCAAGTCACCAGTTCTGGTTTTGATCCACATTCTTGGCATTAGAGTGTAAAATGGCTGCCTTCCAAGCCAAGTGAATCCCCGGAATCTTCCTGACGTCGTTTTCTGCAGGCCCGATCAGCTTCCACGGTAGTCATATTCTTGAGTCACGGCATTAACCTTGTTAAATATGAGCTGCTTTGTTATAAGTAGAAGGAGATTCCTTACTGACTACTGTAACTCATTTTCATATTGAGTCTGTTCACAAGCAGGGTGATCTTCAGACCATGTAAGTATTCCTAGAGAAGTCAAGCTTCTCGTACTAAACAAACAATAACTCGTTACTAAGATCGACGAAAGTGATTGGATTTCTAGAACCTTGTTCCTAGATGTCAGATCAGTCATATCCAGTCAGATCTGGGAACATCACACGCCGCATAGTCGCTACATGATCGACCTCATTCCCCAGATATCGTCGGATGATCCTCAGCGGTAGAGCGGGATCTTTGGGGCTGAGATATCAGAGTAAAGTCCCCTTGCAGAAGGGTTCCGCAGCACGTAGGTACTCATAGTTTAAAATCAGGGGTAGACTGAGTTCAGATTATCGAAGACCACTCGGTCAAAGAGAGGCTCAGAAAGGACAAGAGGGAAATGGACTAAGAAATGGTTTGGTAGCGTGATTAATACTGTGAAATCCTGCAAAGCCGTCGGGTAGGACTCTAGATTGTGCCCTTTGATAATCTTGGTAGTGGCAACTGGCCTTGGACCTCATTACCTCATCCTGCCATTATCCATAGCATCTCAAGCTAGACCATATCAACTTTCGGAATCACCCAGAGCGTTAGTCTCGGGGGAATTACAGCTTGCTGGTCATTGTTTTGAGGCCAATGTATAAAGCCCTTGAGTTGCCACTTTGAACTGTAGAGAAACTGTTGCAAAAACGCGGAATAAGGCCGCCTCCAATATCTCAAATAACCACATTCCTATGCTTAGACTATATAGACAACCATTGTTTGCTACTAACCACAACCCCCCCTCTCTACACTGGGCGACAACGCCCGGAATTCTTCCGTAGTATAGTGGTCAGTATGCAAGCTTGTCACGCTTGAGACCCGGGTTCAATTCCCGGCGGGAGAGATCCAGCCATCTGCGACACGCAGATTTACCCTTTTTGCTTGATGAATAAGTCTAACGTTGTTGAAGTTGTGGGTAGAGACCTCCTGTTACTGCAGTCGCCGGGTGCGTGGCTTCGGAGAGTAAAACAGCTGCTGAAGCATACTAACTATATTGTTTTTATTGCCTAAAGGAAGTCTTGATATACAAGTCCTATAGAAACTTCTCAAAAGACTTGGCCGTGTCAATAATTGTCTGCTCGACAGGGTAAAAGTCTTGTCCTGTCAATTTGACTGCCTTCGAAGCATCAAGAACTCTGTCCTCGGGAAACTCGTAGCCGGGAAAGTATCCCTGCCCAGGAGTTCCAGCCTTAATAATGTCTTGTCTCTCTGGATATACTTTACGAAGAACATCTGCAGCAGCCTGGGGAGGAACAAGTCCTGAAGCCAACAGGAATCGGTCCCCGTTTGCCTTGTCGGGGTGGTCGACGCTGAAGACAGCAACTCGTGCAATATCACGGACATCAACATAGCCGGGATTTGGTGTCAACGGCTTTGGTATCTCTTGACCCGAAAGTATCTGCCAGATGAAGGCAGTTGTTCCGCCGATCTTTGAGGTGGACTCAAGGCCTGGTTGCGGTCCCATGACAAAACTTCGACGACAACGTTAGATTTGCTTGGTGAATAGGCAGTGTCTTCGGGGATAACTCACACTGGATTGAGAGCAGTCATAGTGAAAGAGGGGCTTCTTTCGTCACGGAACTTCCAAAAGGCTCTCTCACTTGCCACCTTGCTCGCAGCATAGATCAAAAGACTGGGTGACTCTTTTCCGAGCTTCTTAACAGCTTCCAAAGCTTCATCATTCCAATCTGCTTCTGTAAATCTAGCAGGTGCTTCTTTGCTGCCGTTTATGATAGAGGCAATAGAGGACATAAGCACAACGGATTTGACGGATGACTCGGTGATGGCAGACTCGAGAACACCCAGTGTCCCTTGAATAGCGACTTCAAGGACAGGTTCGGGGTCTGTAAAGCTGAGACTCACTCCAGCAGCAAGATGTACAATAGCATGAATACCTGATATTGTGAGATTCAAGTCCTCGTAGATAGAAGAGGCGCTTACCCTTGACCGCAGAATCGAAGGCACCTGGTGCGACAATGTCTGGGACTTCAACAATTTCAAGATCTTTGTCATATCAAGACAGAGCCCTGACTAGGGGATCTGCCGAGGACTTTGAGCGAACAGTTCCACGAACAGCATAGCCTGCCTTGAGAAAAGCTTCGATGACGGGCCCGGCAATGTAGCCATTCGCACCGGTCACCAGGACAATTGGTTTGCTGGACATGATTAATCGAGAATGAATATGGATATATAGTTGAAGAGTGTTGAGATTATTTCTTATGGTATTTGAGGATCTCATGAAAGACCATTCTGCCCCTTTTTATGTCCCTCTTACAATGTATAGGTACTGACAAATATCGATACTCCTAGCTCGTGAGGCTACAACAAGCTTACAGGACATCCGGACCTGGCCGTAAGAATGCCGATTGAAAGTTGAATGGACACAAGCATCTTTTGCGTCATCATTGGCGCTTCGGCCTTGAAGCAGCGTGTGCAAAAAATTGTTGGTGGAAGAGCATGAATATCCCAGGAACGCTTCATGATGTGTAAGCACACTAATTGTTGGGTCGCTGGAGAAGTCAGGGCATTGAGGCCGATTACTGATCACCCGAGACTTCAACAATGGTCAACAAGTTTTCAGGCCTCTAGTACAACGCTTGGTAATATGCTAATCGGAGGTCTTAGTAAATAGAAACTGTTTTGAATTGAGCCGTTTCCGTTTTGAGGGCATTGGAATTACTGATCTTGAATCTTATTGTTTCATGTTCTACCAAGCGGGGCCTCAAGCACTCATATAGAGGGGACAGTATGCTTGGGCCTAGATTACTTGCAGCCTGATATAGAACATGGAAACGCGAGACTGATATGCTATACCGAAATAGAGCTGATCTGTTTGAATATTAGTCGAGTCGATCAGAAACTCCCTCGACTAATACGCCGCGAGAGATGCTCCAGAGTAGTTATAACAAGCCGGGAGAAAAGAAAGCTAGGGGATTGATCCTAAATAACAAAAGCAATGAGGTTAACTTAGCCTAAGCTAAGAATAAATTTGCTGAGTTCATTTTGACACCCATATTGAGTGAGGTCTGAAGTTTTCCTGCTCAAGGACAAGTAACGACACGCACGTGACCTCGCGACTTGTTGTGCTAACCGTATGACGCAACCGGGCAATCACTCACACCAAGTTTGCGTCAAGTTGCGCGCTCACAAGTCGTAACCTTCAGGTCAATTTACAACATGACACCAAAATGGTAGGTCGCAAACGTCCTGCGACAAGGGCTAGCGCTCGGAGGGGAGCTGCAGCTTCAGTGCCAACTGGCGGAGAGATCTACCAGGATATGCTCGCTGAAGCTGGTGTGAATTCACGGGATCGGTCATCACCAGAACGACCTTTGAAGCGACGTCGCGCTGGGCCAAGCAGAGTAATACCGGAACCAGGAAAGACATCAGAAGCAGCGTCAAAGCAACCAGAACCAAGCAAAGCGCCTCTAGCGCAAGTCACGGACAAGGAAGAGGATGATGACGATGAAGACGAGGACATTGAGTTTGAAGATGTTGCCTTGCCCCAGCCAACGATGCAGACTATGGAGCTAGAATCAGACGACGACGATGATGATGAGGACATCATGTTCGAGGATGTGGACTTCACAGCACCTCTCCAAGATTTAGGCAAACCCGAAGAACCAAAGTCGTTAGAGCTCAATCTGACAGCGCATCAATCATCTACAGCTCAGGTAAAGAAGGCTGCCGAGAGGCGCAGACCAATCAGTAGAGAGGAGCGCAAGATACGGATGGATATACACAAAACACATCTTCTGTGTCTGCTGTCACACGCTGCACGTCGCAATCATTGGTGTAATGATGGCAAAGTACAAGACTATCTGCGACCGCATTTAACGGACAAGACAGTCAACTACCTCACCCCTGGCGCACACCTTCCACAGTTTGGAAGGACTGAGAGTCTGAAGACTGGCCTCAAGCAGGCAGAGGGTGTGTGGAAGACGAAGTATGAGGTTACCGAAAGGGGTCTAAGGCGTGCTCTGTGGGCGGAAGACCCAGAACAACTGAAAGATGTAAGTCCAGCGCACAATCGAGAGGTCTCGGCTGACAGATTCACAGTATGAACCACCAGATGATATGGAAAGTTGCTTAGATCGTGACGATTTCCGAGAAGCAGCAAAAAAGTTACAAGGGTCTAGAGATGTTGGAGCACAGCTGTATTGCGCCCTTCTGCGAAGTGTTGGCGTACAAGCACGTTTGGTGTGCTCTCTACAACCTCTGGCATGTACATCTGGAGCCCCATCAATGCCGAAACCGAAGCAAAAGCCGAAAAAGCGCTCGACAATAGAAGAGAAAAATGCACAAGTACGGGCTACGATGGCTAAGTACCAAGAAATGGCCAGTGCTGGATATGGTACACCATCTGGCAGTTCTTCAGCACGTCGAAGGTTGGGGCATCCAAATGCAACATCATATAACTTTACACCAGCGATATCTCCCCCGAAACCTCAACCAACGTTTGAAATTCGCAAACGAATAAAAGAATCCTCATATCCTGTGTACTGGGTCGAGATCCTTGATGTCGGACATCAGAAGTGGCAACCGGTAGATGCTGTGGTCACTCATACTTTTTGGAAGCCGAAAACCTTGGAGCCACCCATTACTGATAAGGAGAATTTCCTTTCCTACGTGGTAGCATTTGATGAGGATGGGACTGCAAGAGACGTAACAAGGAGGTATGCGAAGGCTTATACAGCAAAGACCCGAAGATCGAGAATCGACACTGCTTGCGAAGGCGGGGATGTTTGGTGGAGACGGGTCATGAAGCTTTACAGCCGGCGGCGGCGGACAGATCTCGATCAAATTGAGGATAACGAACTCGTAGGTATCGAGGCGAGAGAGCCTATGCCAAGGAATGTACAGGACTTTAAAGACCATCCGGTCTTTGCGCTTGAACGACATCTTCGACGACATGAAGTTCTTGTTCCTGGGGCTACGCCTTCCGGAACAGTTGCTGCAGGTAGTAAAGCACCGCTCGAGAAGATCTACCGACGGAAAGATGTCCGGATTGCGAGAAGTGCAGATAAATGGTATCGTCTGGGGCGGGAAGTTAAGCCACTCGAAATACCTGTCAAATGGCTACCTAAAAAAGCGAAACCAAAGAACCTTCTGGATGATGACCAAGATGAGGATGCCCAAGGAGATGCCGGGACACCTATCTACACCGAGGACCAGACAGAACTCTACGAACCACCCCCAGTGCGGAATGGCATGGTACCGAAGAACAAGTTTGGAAATATCGATGTTTATGTACCAAGCATGATTCCCAAAGGAGGCGCTCACATTATCCACGAGCATGCAGCGCGAGCAGCGTTTATGGTCGGAGTCGACTACGCACCCGCTCTCACCGGTTTCTCATTCAAAGGACGACATGGCACAGCCGTGTTAACCGGCATAGTGGTCGCAAAAGAGTACGAAGAAGCTGTGCGAACTATAATTGATAGTCTGGGTGATCTCGAGCAAGAGGTGGAGGATGAGCGAAGACGACACCGTGCACTCAAGGCTTGGAGGAAGTTCATGATGGCGCTACGTATTAGAGAACAGATTTGGAGCGGTGTGGACGCAGATGAAAGAAAGGCAGCGGATGATAAAGCGGCTAAAGAGGCACAGCTGGACCAAGAGATTGAGGATGCGCCGAGCGATGTTACTGAAGAGTTTGACATGGCAGATGATGACGATATGGGCGGAGGGTTTTTGGTGGAATAGTGTTAGAGTGAAGAACAAGGGCACATCAATGTCATTTTCTGCAACAGTGCAGTGTTGACGACGCGTGTTGGCTTGTATATTGAAGGATCATTGCAATCAGTACGGGGTCTCATATACAGCGGCAACCGGCATTCCGTCGGTATGATTTTGAGTACCGGCGCCGAGAAACGGAGACGGACGCGGAGACTATGATATGTTCCAGGTGATGTAGTATTATGAAAATGAGGCTGTACAGCTTCTGAGTTCTGTGATTGTTTGTAACACATGTATCTTGGCACTTTTCTCAACATGTTCAGCATCTACCAAGTTAGGTGTCTACCTAGACAACCGGCAAGAGTGGAGCGTGGAGGACCTCATCACCAAGCTCAGTCAAGAACAGAGCCTACGTTCCGAGTCTCTTTGTTCGACTACAACAAGTATCTTCCTGCTCTTTGGAAGAGTTGGCATCGGCCTTTTGTCTTCTAGAGGAAAGCAAGACAGCCTAGGTAGGACAAGATGATATCAACATGCCTTGGTGCTTACAAGATGGCCATTCTGAAGCTCTGAAGCCAATATATCATGTTTGAGTATTATCATCGCCAACACTGTCACACCAAGTCAAAAGAGGCCCCGGGAGCAAAACATCAGACCTTGATATAGAGTGTCAAAACAAGGTCAGCAAAAGGTATCCTAAACTTATACTAGATTACCTAAGTCTTTTATTATTTAGGATCAGGGTCCTGAGGTTTGTTTCCTCCCCTAAGAGACGCATCCCTTTTCTGGGACCCCTAAAATCACTATAATCGGGCACCGAGGTCAAGATATTTGCCAAGTGCAGAACGCGACGCTACAAGGGTTGGCATTCTCGGCTGACAGCGTCGACTTGTATAATCGGCGTGATTTTTGACCCGAACTCCCGACGCGAGCTTCGTTTCATTGTAAACGGAACCAATTCCTTCATGCGAGCAGATTCTCATTGGATGGATATTTGTCTTGTCATTTTAATGGCCCTCGCGTATCGCTCTGAATCGGTTGCCTATCTGGATCTAGTTCCCTGCGTGTCGAAGAAAAGGAAGAATCATAGATTGAAATATCGTAGCATCGATCCATGCATGACAGATGGGCCGCGTGTCGAACAGCACAGCCGAGATGAGTGGATAATAAATGGACAATGCTGGATGATTGCTGATGCTGATGTTGCTGCAGGATGGACATAAAACAAGGGAGGGGAAAGAGAAAATGTTGCAATTGGGCCTCGTTTATAAAATCGTATTCCGTACTCTGTATATCGTAAATACAAACCCAATTCTGCGGGCCTACCACGGTCTTTGTAGGTTTATGCTACGCCAGGACGGAACGGAGCAAAGTTACGGATTCCCGTCCAGGGGTGTCAGTTGTTTCTCCTGATGTGATTCTCTAGGAAGTCTTCAATGTTAACCAGTTAGTGTTATCAATCTTCATATCATGGAAGAATCAAGGACCATAGATCTTGATCGATTTCTATGCCTCGAATTATGTAGACTGCTGGGGGCTTTAAGTTCAAGATCGAAACAGTGCTGATGACTGGCTGTCTCGGCTCCGGGGGGTCAAATGTGGGGGGCACTTTAGGGAGCCCTAGGGGCTGCCTCTTGGTGGATCCTACCTACCTTAGTGTCTGGAGGTATTACTTTAAATCAGCCTCGACACCTCGTCATTGAACTAGCCTGTGAACTTAATTAACTCCATTTCTTCCAACCTTACGATGCAGAGGATACATCGCCATCATCACTTTACTTCTCCGAATCAATTCTCTATGAAATAAACACAGTAAAAGGTAACCTTAACCTATGCCAAGTTACCTAAGTCTCTTGTCCCTTAGGATCGAGGTGCGGGCAAACCGCGTTCCTGTCCTGTTTCATCCCAAGTCACCATCATCATGACTTTCATCAAACAGGTCGGGACCCTAATGGGCAAGAATTTCCGCATTCTTTTAATGCGCCATCTTGCACTATGCATCTGGATGGCCTTTATCTTACCCATCTTCTTGGCCGCGCTCTTTAGTTTTACAAAGAACCTCCTGGTGCCTCCAGCGGAATACGGTATCGGCAAGCCAACACCACTTATCGACCTCGGCGATGCCATCAAGAAAGCAAGCAACAGTGGACGTAAGAAATTGGTCCTCGTCAACAACAATTTCACGGAAGGGAATATTGGTCGGGTGTTCAGCACTGTGACGCAACAATTCCAAGATGCTGCCGAGTCTGCAGACGTCAACTTTGAGGTCATCTCCATCGAACGTGAACAGGACTTAAGGGCAGAATGCCCTAGTAACTTGAGGGGATTGACAAGATGCTTTGGTGCTGTCGTCATGCTTTCGTCGCCTGATCAAGGCCCTGGGGGCCTTTGGAACTACACCATTCGGGCTGATGGAGACTTCGGTCGCGCAGGCAGAAAATTCGAAATCAGCAAATCGAACGACCAGCAGATCTATGTAATCCCGCTTCAACACTCCGTCGACAGAGCTATTTCCCTTGCCAATAGTTCAAGTACCAACGAACTCAATGGCACTCAAGAATACCCCTACACCACCTTGACCCCTGAGGAGCGTGACCGAGAGATTCGTACACGATTCCAAAAGGTCATAAGGGACTGGATGGGTGTCGCATTTCTGGGAACCGTTGTCTGGATCACATATCATCTTACTGGTTTCATCGCTACAGAACGCGAAAGTGGCATGTCCACATTGATCGATGCTATGATGCCGATACGGAAACCGTGGCTAGCCATGGTCGCCAGGATTATTGCGCACCACATTTCATTCTCTCTCATCTACCTGCCAGCATGGATAATCGGCTCCATTATTGTTCGCGGTGGTGTTTTCGCCAAGACCAGCGTTGGTATTGTCCTCGTTTTCCACGTTCTCATTGGCCTTGCGTTCTCTTCTATATCCATGTTGTTTGCATCCTTCTTCCGAAAGGCCCAGCTGAGTGGTATTACCGCCATCCTGGTTGTCGCCCTACTCGGAATTCTTTCGCAAGTCCTCTCTTCTCCTGGTACTGTCTCTGTCGCCGTTCTTTCGATCTTCTTCACCCCTTGCGCCTTCGTGTTCTTTATCAGCAACATGGCATGGTTCGAGGAGCAGGAAATGCCGACTGACTTGCTAAAAGCGGCACCTAATAGCCCGTCAAAACTCCCAGGTATTGTTATCTGGATATTCTTGATCATCCAGATATTTGCTTATCCATTGATTGGGGCATTTATCGAGCATGCTCTGTATAGCAATGATACGCCAGGTCGAAAAATATTGCATAACCAAACTGATGTGGACCGAATTGGTAGCAATGCTGTGCAATTGCGACAATTCTCAAAAACGTACAAACCTAGCATCTTTTCAAGATTGTTCCGCCGAGGCCCCAATAAGAAGCCGCCTGTTCTCGCCGTCAACGGGCTGGATCTCGATATTGGCCAGGGGCAAATTGTCGCACTTTTGGGTGCCAATGGCAGTGGAAAGAGCACCACGCTCGATGCTATTGCAGGCATGAACAAATTGACGAGTGGATCGATCAAAATCGATGGCAGAGGTGGACTTGGTATCGCTCCCCAAAAGAACGTGCTCTGGGACGACTTGACAGTGGAAGAGCACATCAGAATCTTCAATCACCTAAAGGCTCCCAACGCCAGGGCTACCACACAAGAGATTGAAGATCTGATCAGATCCGTCGATCTCTACAAAAAGCGAAAGGCTTTTGCAAAGACTCTCTCGGGTGGTCAGAAGCGCAAGCTCCAACTGGGACTCATGTTGACGGGAGGAAGCGCTGTGTGTTGCGTTGACGAAGTCAGCAGTGGCATTGATCCGCTGTCGAGACGAAAGCTTTGGGACATCATTCTGGCTGAGCGTGGTAGACGCACGATGATTTTGACCACCCACTTTTTGGACGAGGCCGATCTTCTTGCCGACCATATCGCCATTCTTTCGAAGGGAACTCTGCGTGCAGAAGGCTCCTCAGTGGCCTTGAAGGACAATATGGGCGGCGGTTACAGAGTTCATGTTCCCAAGGACATTGGGATTCGAGAAACCCCAGACATTGATCAAGTTGCGAAGAAGGATGCCTTCGACCTCATCACATACACTGCTCCCACCTCGCAGCTCGCAGCTGTTGTCATTAAGAGTCTTGAAGCTGCTGGTATCAAAGAATATCGCTTCTCGGGCCCGACTATCGAGGATGTTTTCCTCCAGGTTGCCGAGGAGATCAGAGACGAAGAAGCGTTCCGCAACGCAAACCACCCCTTGTCTGTCCCATCATCCGAAAAGGTCGCCTCCAAAGAGAAGGAAGGCGAAAATCCAGGGTTGGCGCTTACAAATGGACAACGAGTCGGATACTTGAAACAAAGTTTGATTCTGTTCCGCAAGCGTCTCACTATTCTGAAGCGGAATCGATTTTTGTATCTGCTAGCCTTTCTTCTTCCAATCTTCGCTGGCGGATTGACTTCCCTTTTTATCATTAACGAAAGTACGGCCAGTTGCGTGCCAGGGGACCAATCAAGGAAAGCTGCTGCTCAGGGACTAAACGTGTTCGATCCAAGGGAAGGAGGAGACAACATTGCACTGCGCCTCTTAGCTGGGCCAAGGTCAAAGTTGAGCACTGACTTGTTCCGCCTCATAAATCCCATGTTAAAGGGTAACGCTGGAAGTGAAACCCAAAGGGGGTTCGACATAAACGATCTTAGCTTGGTCGACACTTTCCAGCAATTCAAAGACAAGATCGAGACGGATCGAAAGAACATCACCGGAGGAATTTGGCTGGGCAATGACGAGCAAGGTCCTACATTTGCATGGGTCGCTAATCTTGCCATCGTGGTGCCTATATTCGCGCAGCAGATGCTGGATGTCGTAATGTCCAACGTCAGTATCGCAACGTCTTGGGCTCCTTTTGAACTTCCCGTGAATGACACGACGGGTAGTTCACTTCAAATGATTGTATACATGTCGATCGCTCTCTCGGTCTATCCTGCATTTTTCGCACTCTACCCAAGCAACGAGCGGCGCAAGTTCATTCGCGGTTTACAATACTCCAATGGTGTCCGGCCATTACCACTCTGGATAGCCTACCTCCTGTTTGATCTAATCATTGTCCTGGTCAGCACAGCCATCGTGGTGGCGATATGGGCCGGTGTCTCCGATATCTGGTTCAACATTGGTTACGTCTTCCTCGTCTTGTTCCTATACGGAATAGCTTCGACAGTCTTTGCGTACCTTGTCTCCCTCTTCACTAAAACACAGCTTGGAACGTACGCATGGGCAGCGGCGAGCCAGACTCTCATTCTTGTCGTCTACATCATTGCGTACATGTCGGTGTTGACTTACTCGCCCGTGACCAAGGTTGACAGCTCCTTGCGCCTTGTTCACTTTGTCATTTCTGCATTCGCCCCCATTGGCTCAGCACTGAAGGCTCTTTTTATCTCTACAAACCTTTTTTCTACGGCATGCGATGGCAATAGCCTGACCGAAAACCCAAGCGGCATCTTGTACTATGGTGGACCCATTCTGTACCTCATCCTTCAATCACTCATCTTCTTTGGTCTTTTGATTTGGCTCGATACTGGTACAGCGGGAGCCTCACTTCGAGGTCTCTTCCGGGGAGGAGACAAAGCTGAATCAGATGAGGAACATGTTGATGAAGACATCATTGATGAGCGCGAGAAAGTCACTCGTAATGAGGGGCATGAGCATGGTCTCCGAATTATGCACCTGACGAAGAGCTTCCGCGACAACATAGCTGTTGACAACGTCACCTTTGGTATCAAGCGTGGTGAAGTTTTTGCTCTACTTGGTCCGAATGGTGCAGGAAAATCAACGACCATTTCTCTCATCAGAGGTGATATCAAGCCGGACCGAAATGGAGGCGATGTGTTGGTGGAAGATATATCCGTCAGCAAGAACCTCGCAGGTGCTCGAGCCAACCTGGGTGTCTGCCCTCAGTTCGATGCTATGGATCAGATGACGGTACGTGAGCATCTCGAATTCTACGCCAAGATCAGAGGTGTCACCGACATCGAACACAACGTGCGGGCTGTTATGCAGGCGGTAGGGCTCGAGTCATTCTCTACGCGGATGGCGCATGCTCTATCTGGAGGCAACAAACGAAAACTGAGTTTGGGAATCGCTCTGATGGGCAATCCCACTGTTGTGCTTCTGGATGAGCCTTCGTCTGGTCTCGATGCTGCTTCAAAGCGTGTTATGTGGAGAACACTCGAGGCGACAATCCCTGGAAGATCAATTCTTCTCACGACACACAGCATGGAGGAAGCAGATGCATTGGCTGGTCGTGCTGGTATTCTTGCTCGAAGGATGCTTGCTCTGGGAACTCCAGATAACCTTCGACATCGCTTCGGCGATGCCTTGCATATTCACCTTGTCGCCAAAAGTGCCCCTCGTACTACTCAGGAGGAGATGGACCGAATGACAAACTGGATTCGGCAAACTTTGCCCTCAGCCGATGTTGATGAGAAAACATATCACGGCCAGATCCGCTTTTCAGTGCGCGCTGGCCAAGTCCTCGCAGCAACTTCTGGTCGTAAGGAGGAAGAGATCTCAAGCGACCGAGAGGTTGATCTGAGCCAGAGTGCCATTGGACACCTAGTAGTGTTGCTGGAGGAGAACAAGGCAGAACTCGGCGTGGGTCACTACAGTGTTATGCCAACAACACTGGACCAGGTTTTCTTGACTATCGTTGGACAACACAACGTGAAGGAAGAGAACTCAGAAGAGAAGAAGCAAAGCATTTGGCGCAAAATCTGGATGTTTGGGAGATCATAACTGGTGCATTTTCATAAGGCTGCGGTGTTTGGCGTTGAGGTTTTATTGAGGCCCTGAACCGATCGATACGAACGTACAGCTTCGATACGGTTTGTACAACCGGGCCTGCCTGGTCAATACTCAGGGAGCAAGCAAACATGAGACTTTAGAAGAGGGTGCTACAATAAACCCAGTAAAGACTCCCCTAAATAGACTAAATCGAATAAGTATTTCATCACTTAGGATAAAGGTCTCAAGTTTTCTTGCCTTCCCCTGTTAATGTATCTACCTTCAGTATCAGCAGTATGGTGGCCACGATAGTCATCCAGCCAGTTCATATGGTCAAATTCCGCATTCAACTCGCTGGCGAGGGACAGCGAACATAACCATTTTATTCCGTGGGTTTGTTCTGCTTTGCTACGGCTGCTTTCTCTTCTTTCTTTTTCTCTTTTTTTCTTGGCAAAGTTCAGTGAAAGTCTTCCTACCATGTATTTGTTCAAGATATAGCTCCTGAACATTCACTTTTCTGCCATAGAACATGCACAGATCGAAAACGAACAAAGGACTTGGAGAACAACAACGTCTTGCTTGTTTGCTTGCCTGCATTGTTCACATCAATGTTTACCATTACAGATGTCTTGTTCTAGTACGCTATTAACAAAGGAGCTCCAGTACACCACTCAAACAAGTTTAGGACTTACATGTATATATATCGAGTGCTTCAGCATAACTAGAAACCCAACAGCTCCAACCACAATTTACACATCAACACACTAGCAACAGTTTCAAAAACTAAATTATTAAAACAACAAATCACTACCACATCAACAATATGTGTTACCGAAGTATCACTCACACTATGCGCTGCGATGCGCGGCCTGTCATTTCCGATGGTAGCAAAGACTACACTGACCCGTTCGCCTCTCCCCTCCCATGCAGCTGCGGCCCTGAGCATTTCGTGCCAAGTTACCTTCGATGCGATGATCATGGTTGCTGTATGAAGAAGGTCAGAATGAATTGGTGTCCTCACGTCGCTGATTGCAACGAGGTCTACGAAGTTCATCGCTATGTCCAGTCTTATCGTCAACCACGAAATATCTGGGGTCCCATTGACACAAACGGCGACAGCTTCGATTCCCTCTGGAGCCTTCCCAAGATTCAGGAGAAGAAAGAGGCTTGGAAAAATGCTCCGAATTTGGAGAAAGGTCTCTTCACTGGAAAGATTCCACACTTGACGGCTGTCCCGCCTCCTTCTCGCATGGCTGTTGAGAACCTTGCCAACATTGGCCGTCTCATTGTCCAGACACAAGCTCAGTTGGATGTTCTTCGCAGTAACGCTGCTGTTGGAAGAATCTGGCACGATTATTTCCACGGAGAAGCTTGCTCTCGTGTGCTTAATGAGTGGGAGTGCCCACAACAAGGACCTATCGTAAATGCAGAACTGCTTGTGGAGGAAAAGGCTAAGGACCTCGTGAAGATGAAGGAGATCTTCAACACATGCTGGACCTTCATTCAAGGCATGATGTGGTCTCGCCAAGTAGGCAAAGACCTTATGATCCAGAATGTACCAGTCGTTTGGGATCACTAGAAAGGACCAGGGTCGTCCGTTTAGGGGGTCTGTCTGGTGGTTGAATTTAGCATGCGTTTTTTTAAGTTGGGCGTTTGGGATAGGGAAAGGTTAATATCGATAATAGAGGTTCATCTAGAGAATAATTAACTTGGACTCCGTTCTCATAAGCCAATCAATGGTCCTAATGATCAAAGTAAATATCCCAAATGGTGATGTCTTTGGATGCTTGAGTGAACAGGGTGTATGAATATCTGTAAGTGGTTTCCTGCTTAATCAGCAACAAAAGCCGTCATCGTATAGGGG